ATATGTGTGTGGCAGTAGTCCACAGAATGGAATTTATTTTTGGTAGGTCTGAAAATGAACCTGCTCTTTCTATGATGCTGAGAGTAGGCAGCCCCTTGCATAACAGGTAAACCAGTTTCAGATTGAGGATGAGATGGAGAGGATGAAAAATAGAGGGGAAAGTAGATTTCTCTACCCACCTACTCATATTCATGCTGTCTCCGGCGTTTTCTCTCCTCCCACGTGCATCCTGTCGTGTGTGTGTGTGTGTGTGTGTGTGTGTGTGCACAGACGTCAGTGAGATCTGTCACTGCGTAACACTCCATACATGGTGATAACCGGATGGAATGTTAGGATATTAAGAGAGATGGACAGAGACTCTTTTAATTACATAGAAATTAATTCATTTGAGATTTTTTTTTCTGCCCAGCTAAATAGGTTTTAACTTTTAAGAACATTTTGCTAACCAGGGTTGTGGTAGGGATATGCCGGTATCAAATTTTCATGTTGCGATTAATTGCTAATGCTTTTATTACGGTATACGGTATTATCACGATATTGAAATTAAGTTTAAAAAAAAGTGCTGTCATAATACAGTATAACAGGTTTAATAACTTTTTTCTTATAACAAAAATAACTGAACATTTAAATGCAATAAAGCAATACAGAAAAATGTACAAAGTTAAAAGTTTTACACAGATTAAAGTGCAAAAGAACTATAAAGACCAATAGGTATCACTTTACAATAAGACCTCATTAGTTAACCTTAGTTAATGCATTAACACTCACAATGAGCAATAGCTACATTTGCGACAGAAGTTATTAATCTTTGTTTAAAAAAACACAAGTCTTAGTTCATGTTAGCTCATTAAATAACACAGCTGCAACTCTCGATTTTAACAACATGTTATTAAATATTGGAATACCTAAGATTAATGAATGTTCAGAAGAATTTTTCATTGGCAGTTTATGTTAACTAATGAATTAACTAATGTTAACTAATGAAGCCCTAATGTAAAGTGTGACCGAACAATAAAAAATCAAAACACTTTCAAACAATATCTAGGGCATGTTGTAGTCCAGATTAAAATGTAAAAAAAAAAAGAAAATAAATAGCCTATTAAGTCTAAATATGTAAGTATTTGGCGCTGTGATGAACATCATAGCAAATACACAAATCTGAATGGCTGTTTAAATCATTTAGCATCGAGGCACAAGTCTAGTTGGGGGTAATGCATTATGACATGAGTTACGTAATCAGATTACTTTTTCAAGTAGGCCTAGGCTAAATAGTAAAGTAGTGCGTTACTTTTTGATTTAGAAGAGCTTTTTCAAATAAGTATCTTTGTTTTCCCAATTGATGACTGACAGTTCTCCTGTCCCTGTGTTGAGAGAAATCAGCAGTAAGTGCACTGTAAACATGATGATTACTAGTTCTAGACTAAATGTGAATAGTGAACATGCATTTACTCATCTCACTTGCACAAAAATAGAATCAGTATTCTTCAAAATGAATTAAAACAATGAAATGCAAACTCAGAATATGATACAAATCTGCAATAAGTATATAACACAAATATCTCTTTATGTATTTAATCCTATTTTATTAACCAATGTCTTTTCAGCTGATCCAATTCAACCATACTAATAAGCAGAAATGACTCTAGATAAACATAACATTTGTGTTATTTATTTATTTATCCAAAGAGAATTGAACTTTATTCTCCTTCGTCCTATTCTTCATGTAATCCAGAATGGCAGCACAACTGAAAGGTTTGTTTGAGCTGCGCCCTCTACTGTACAGAAGTGAATTTACTTTTAAATAGAAAATATAACTTTTTTATATTAAAAGCAAACAAGCAAGCCCAGCCTAGATTTAAAAAGTAACGCAAAGATAACCTTATTACTTTCCATAAAAATAACTAACAAAATTGGTTGCTAATGTTACGTTATGGAAGCAATTATTGTAGTAATGTTCTCTCTAACATCTCTAACAACATTAAAGACCATAACTTTGAGCAAATATTTTATTAATGTTTCTGGAAGAATTTTTTTCAGAACTTGTCAGAAATTAAGACAAATTTTAGTGTTTTACTGCATTTTTTGTTTTGTTTTGAAAATGTATATATCTCAGACCCAGATTTGTGTTTTTTAAATATTGAAATCCACCATTAAATAATAATTATTATATTTTTAAAATATATGGCGTAAAATGATTTCTATCAGTTTTTTTAAAATCAGTTTATTTCTACCACAATGCATTTTTTTCCACTAATAAAGTTTTTTTTTTATGTTTGTGTCTTTGGTTAGCAAGGAAACAAAATGATCAGTGAAGAGCATGCTTGAGATGAAATATGAGACATGATGTGTGAGGACACATTACATGATGTGTGAATGGAATATTTTTATTGCATTTCCAATGAGCTGTAATTTTCTCACATTATGCAAGTGTAAAAATATGGCAGCAATGAATCCTAGCTAGAAAGAAAAATGAGTCCAAAAATGTTTAAATATAATGTCCACCACAGAATGTTATCAAACGTATCTAAAATGTGGTGTAAATGATGTTTCAGATCAATTATACACAGATGAGAGTATGAAAAGCATGTTTTAGGAGAGTTTAATTATGAAACATGCATGGCAGACATAGGCCTACCGATTTTTTGATGAAAAACATGCAAGTTTTAGAGGAAAGGAGCCATTTGAAAGCATTTTATATTTAACTTTGCTCACTCATCAGACAATAGGCCTAATGCACTTTATTTTTTCATTGCTTTCATAATTTTGTGCTATTTTTAGCAATGTTAAAGTCAGTTTATTTTCAAGATCAAAAAATAGGCCTGCATAGTAGGCTACAGAATTTCCAGAAGAACGTGATTTTAAACATTTCCCTAACCCCACCTATACATAATCATAACCCTTTCCTCAATAAATCAGTCTAAACACTCACATCACACTCACAAACACAACACAACACATTACATTAACATATTCACTGTGGTACAGCAATTATCACATCAGTGCTGTCATTAGCACTCATTTAGTGTCAGCAGAGAGTGAGTAACAACATCCTCTGAGGGTGTGTGTGCATTTCTGCCTCATTGTGTTTCTTTAGCAAACTGCCAAGCATTCTCTTTTATTGTTCTGTGCAAGCATGCACACACACAAAACCTCAAAGTTAAATAGCAAAAATCTATTAGTATAATGGTTAAAAACCTTGGCTTGTAAAAAGATAATTAACATAAAATAATGACCTCCAGGTTGCTTCAGGAAATGAGCAAATGAACCAAGTAGACGTATCAGCTAAATATAAGCAAATATATTAGGCTATAGACTATAACAAATATTTTATAAGCACATTTTTTCTTCTTCAACAGCTATGCTATAAACTCTTTACTATAAACTCATTTCCTTCATTTCTAGCTATACTTTCTTCGTGATTTTTATATTTTCCTAATGGATTCATAAATTCAACTCAAGTTTCAATCACAATCATTTCAGTAAAATCATTCTATGTGCTTTTACGAGTAAGAAAGAGATCGTGCCGTGGCGCCACCTTGTGGTCACCATATATATATATATATATGTTTAGCAGATAAAACCAGACAAAAGGTACTAATTTCATATAATAACTGAAATATAAATACAATGGGCCACATATGCCATCTAAAAATCATTAATCATATGTTGCTATAATATTTTATACAATCAAAAATTATAAGCAATGAATATATGATTATATATGATGATATATGAATATAGCAAAGAAAGTGAAATTTTCTTTTAAACTCAAAAGGCAGGAACAGAACAAATAAAGAAAAGAGGATTTAAAAAACAAACAAACACCAAAACAAGTATTAATCATGGTACATGAAAGATCTCATCATATCTCTTCAAAAAAGAAATAATAAGCACATTTTTTCTTCTTCAACAGCTATGCTATAAACTCTTTACTATAAACTCATTTCCTTCATTTCTAGCTATAGTTTCTTCGTGATTTTTATATTTTCCTAATGGATTCATAAATTCAACTCAAGTTTCAATCACAATCATTTCAGTAAAATCATTCTATGTGCTTTTACGAGTAAGAAAGAGATCGTGCCGTGGCGCCACCTTGTGGAAGGATAAGAAAGTTAACAGTAGATTCTAAAGATTTGTTCTGGTTTTCAAAAAAGCAAACAACATCCTTAATGTGTAAATCACAGTTCATATTAACTTTAGAAAAACAACAGGAACTCAAATCTTTCCAGAAAAGTGATGAAACATTACATGAGAAAAATAAATGACAAATATCTTCACTTTCTTTTTTACAGAAGGTGCATATATCAGCTACATCACAAAATTTCGACACAAAAGCGTTACAAGGGTATATATTATGCAAAATTTTAAAATGCACTTCTTTCACTTTATTGGGTATACAGTATTTATATGGTAATAACCATGTTTTCCTCCATTGAATGTTATCTATTTTAGAACCCCCCAAAAGTTTCCCTTTTGGAGAAATTGAGTTTCGAGATTGAGAAAGTTGACGAATAAATGAATTATTACATTCTTTACTTAAAAGCGAAACACCTCCCAAACATAACTGTGAAAGTTGTTTTGAGCATGACTCATGGGTGAGGGAAGCTTTCATCAGACATATTAATCCATCAGGAATCGCCTTTAAACGGAACGGGACATTGATGGATATTCATAAAACATTCATAAGATAACAAATCACCATTAGAGTTGAATAGATCAGCAACAAAAATTGTTTTTATCAAACCATTTATCAAAAAAGACTGATCTATTTCTAATTTTAATATCCAAATTATTCCATAAGATGGTTTTGTGGGGGGAAAAGTTGTGGTTGTAAACCAGTTTCCAGGCTAACAAAGCTTGTTGATGAAATCTAGCCAGTTTAATAGGTAATTTACCAGTGGAGTAATTGCATTTCATCAAAAAAGAAAGGCCACCTACCCTATTATTAAATATATTATTAGGAGAAATTTTCTTTTAAACTCTATCAACCGTTATACGCCATGACGTCAACGAAGCGGCTCCGCCCATCAGTGGTACGTCAGAGTCGAGGCGGAAGCGGAAGGCAAGCAGTGGGCGCTGAAACATGGCGTGCACATACACACGCACAGTCAGGATGACAGCCGGCGCGTGTGTGTTTTCTGCGCTTATCGCAACATGTGTGATGCTGCAGCCCGCGTCGGCCAAGTCGGCCAATTTAAGAGTAATCACAGATGGAAACTGGGAGGAAATCCTGACGGGAGAATGGATGATCGAGTTGTGAGTTATTAAACTGAGTTGTGCAAAAAAGTCTAGTTTATTTATGTTTATCTATGCATGTTGATTAATGCTGCACATGAATCTAAATGATCTAAAATATCTAGCTTCAGATTATTACATGACTTCTTATTGCAGTGTTCTTGTGCTGGATAGAGGACTCAGGATTGAGGAAGTTCAGTGGCCTGAGGTTAAAGGCGTAGTTCACTCAAAAACGACTTAAGATTTCATCAGTGACTTCCCCAAATGTTGATTCAAAACCTCATGACTTTCTTTTTTCCTTGGAACACAAGAGGAGATGTTGGGAAGAATAACAGCCTCAGTCACCATTGATGTTCATTGCATCTGTATCTGATTGGTGACTGTCATTCTGCCTAACATCTCTACCAACATGACTGTGAGTAAGTGATGTCAGAATCTTCGCTGCCCCTTTCTTCAGAAGTGTTTAACCGTAGTTTCCCCTGCACACTTCCTCCAGCTGGAGCAATCGAGCAAGAGGATTGTAGTTAAATGGATCCAATGGAAAACAAATGAGCCTCAGTGTCTTTGTGCCTCCTCTGGCTGGGATTGTGTTATTGGATTAAAAGGTTTGCTTGTCTGCTGCAGCTTTGCTCCGTGGTGTCCAGCCTGCCAGCAGCTCCAGCCTGTGTGGAATGAGTTTGCAGAATGGGGAGAAGATTTGGGAGTGAATATAGCCAAAGTGGACGTCACCGAGCAGCCAGGTTTGACTCTATCTGCTGCACACATCTGGTTTCTCTGCTCACCTGATCGCCTGTGTTTATGACTCTCACACTTGTCTCTCTCTATGTGCTGCAGGTTTGAGCGGGAGGTTCATCATCACAGCTCTCCCAACTATCTACCAGTGAGTTTCTTTCCATTTACATACATTTAACCCTTTCTTTAGAAGTTAGTGAGCTGGTAATTGGTGATGGATTTGATCAAATCAAAAAAGTAAACGTAGTTGTGAACTATTGAAGTCTATACTGTCGTTTTTGATTAATGCAACTTTGCTAAATAAAAGGATTCGTTTTCTTTTGTTTAGATAGATAGACACCAGCAATTGTCTTGTTTACATCTGTGTGGTGTAAAAGCAGTTATAAGTGGTTAAACACGGCTGTTCGCGTGTGTGTTGCAGCTGTAAAGATGGTGTGTTTCGGCGGTATCAAGGAGCCCGATCTAAAGATGACTTCCTGAGCTTCATTGATGAGAAGAAATGGCAGAGCATAGAGCCGGTCTCTTCCTGGTTCGGCCCCTCATCCTTCCTGTGAGTACATGCTGTGTGTGCTGGGGTGGTTTCAAATTGTATAATAATGCAATAGCTCTGGGCTATATCTCCAGAAAAGGGAGTTTAGAGAATCCACAGCATGTGGTTAATGCTGATTCACAAGTTGGCTCACTTTTAATGTAATACTGGCAGGCGTTTTTTCCACTTGATTTGACACAATTTCTGTGACTGACTGACTGACTTTTTTATTTTAGGATGAACGCAATGTCAGCCCTCTTCAAGTTATCCATGTTCATCAGGGTGAGTGTGTATGCCTATTAATATTTAACTACTGCATTCTTGTCAGTTTTGTGAATTCAATTCAATGAAAGTATATACACTATTTTCCTAGCGATTCTTTGAATAATTTAGAGTTATAACTTACAGGCACAAATCATTTAGAATTCAAGCTAATGGTGAAGGAACCAGCAGCAGACACTGAGAGATATAGTCAGCCGGTCGATAATGCAAAATAAACCCCCTGACCTCAAGTAGAGGTGACTGTATCATTATTCTGCATATGACACAGCATAGTGTAAGCATAATTTAAAGCCAGAAGATATATGTTTGTTTAATGACTCACTGCAAAGAAATATATTCAATCGTAAACACCTGACCTGATGTCTTTATAATGTGTTCAGAGAGGTTTTCATGCAGTCGTTTAAATATTTTTTTTTTTACTTTGTGTTTCAGCATTGCCATAATTACTTAACGGAGCAGCTGGGCGTCCCTGTTTGGTGCTCGTATGGGATATTTGCTCTAGCAACACTCATCTCAGGATTGGTCCTTGGATTGGTGAGAATACACACTAATATTCAAAAGTTTAAGGTTGTGTGATTTTTAATGGCTTTTTAAGTTATTTGTGCTCACCATAACTGCACTTGGTTGATCAAAAATGCAGTAAAAACAACTTGTGAAATATTATTACAATTTAAAATAACTGTTATATTTTAATCTACTAGATTGTAATTTCTTTTAGATGGCAAAGCTGAATTTTTAGCAGCCATTACTCAAGTCTTCAGTGTCACACGGTCCTTCAGAAATCGTTTTAATTTGCTGATTTGGTGAAAGAACATTTCCTATTTTTATCAGTGTTGAAAAGAGTTGCTGCTTGATCATTTTTGGAAACAGTGATACATATATTTTCAAGGTTGCTTTGATGAATAGAAAGTTCGAAACAACAGCATTTATTTGAAATTGAAATATTTTGTAATATTATAATGTCTTTTACTTTTGGTCAATTTAAATGTGTCCTTGCTAAATTAATGTATTAATATCTTTTTAAAAGTATTAATAACCCCAAACTTTGGTTGTGCACACAAGATATGTTTCAAGTGTAAATGAAGTGGGTAATCCCAGAATGCATTGCAGTGAACTCATCTATCCAAAATTGTGGATCTAAATAGTATCAATAACATGCTCAATCTAATTTTGTGTGCTTTTACATCATTAGCTTAGAACATGCTAACATGAAACTCTATTGAAATCGTTTTTAAATGTCTCCTTGATTTCTTTCTCTCAGATACTGGTTTTCATCGCAGATTTTGCGTTCCCATCACGCCGGTTTGCATCAGATTATCACTACAGTAAGTGTGAATGTTTATTTCAACCTGCCTGCTTGACTACAGGAACATGTAATGTACCTGAGATTCAATAAATGTGATGATTGAAATAAAAAACAACATGACAATAATAAAACTATGATGAAATGACGCATAAATGTTTGTGTAGGGAAACTGCCTGCTGGGCAGGTACGTCTCCTGCAGCAGTTGGAAGATGAACAGGAAGCAGACGGAGAGGAAGAGGATGATGACGATGATTACGGTGGAAAGACTGCACAAGCATTAATTTACAAGTAAATCAAAATATAATACAAAAACATAGGGTTCTTTTAACAAAATGAGAATAATGTCTGAGAAAAGGATTGATATTGCAGCATGGTTTGATATTTTAATGCAATAAAATTCACACAGTATGATTTTATTGTGTCAAATTACTTTTTGTCGGCTACTATAAAATGTGTGTGAGATTTAGTTGTGAAGCCTCAAACACAGTGATCCTCAGCCAGGGGTCTGGGGCTCATTAAATGGCCTTGAGTAATTTTGGCCCATACAATGTATTTTTGGCTATTGCTACAAATACGTGCTACTTCTGACTGGTTTTGTGGTCCAGGCCAGGGTCACATATATATAATTACAAAGCAACTGAAATAGTATTTTCTTGTAAAACGATAGTTAAATGTTCATAAGATTGAGATTCTTTGTCCAGTTTCGGGCATATATGTGAATTCACTAATACACAACATTACATGGAAGTATCTTGTTTGTTTACCCTGTCAGTTTGTATTGTGAATGCTGTTCAATGATGATGAAATTCAAAAGAAGTATTCATTGTCAGATGCATGTACACACATAGCTGGAGGCTGCATTTGCCATTAACTTGTGCCTATAGTTGCATAACCAATGACATTGTCTGATATTGAAAAAACTCTCTCACACACACAAAAGAAGAGCTCTCTGTGTCTGATATCCTTCTCTCCTGTATTCAGGGATATGCTAACCTCCTTTTCAGATGCTCTACTTTTATTATGTTGCTCCACACTTTTTAAGCATTCACATACATGATGTAAAAAAAAAATTTCTTATTGGAAGGTGCAAGAAGTATAAAGTTTCTTTCAATGTGACTGTGAAACCAAACTCTTCCCTGCACGGTCAGTGACGGCCTCGGATAATGTTACTACGTCTACAAAATATAAAGTGCTCATGTTGACACAACATACTGCTGTTTTTCACTGATACAAATGGTGCATATAATCTGCCGAGACACACTGATCTCAGTATTGTGAAAATAAAATGGCATTACAGCCGGATCAAGCTGACTGCAGTTTTGAATTACATCATAGTGTTGCATTACAATTTAGCAGTGAGAGATGAGAATGTACCATTAGAATGTACCATTTTTTCTTATATCATTCAAAAGTTTGGCATCAGTATTTTTTTTTAAAGAAATAAATACTTTGATGTAGCAAGGATGCATTAAATTGGTCAAAAGTGACAGTTAAGGCATTTTGTTTCAAAAGATCATCCTTCAAAAGTATCCTAAAAACATCAGTTTGACAGCACAGCACAACTGTTTTCAACATTGATAATAATAAGTTGATATATGTTTCTTAAGCATCAAATCAGCATATTAGAATAATTTCTGAAGGATCATGTGACACTGGACTAGTGGCTGCTGAAAATTCAGCTCTGAATAAATTACATTTTAAGTTATTTTTTTATATTGAAGACAAAACTCTGAATCTAATAAGTTTTATGTGATGAGAATTTTTTATTGAATTTGTTACAACATGTTCTGGAAAAAAATATAGCAGCAAAAATGTAGTTACAGCAGAAAAATGAATGCTTTTCCAGTCTGTGAAACTGATTATACCATTAAGAAGGTTTATCACAAAGATAAAAACTAAGACACTAAATGTAGATCTCAGGCTAAACTTAAGGCATCAGAGAGAATCATGTATGTTGTTTACAGGGAAGGTTCTCGTTCTGAGCTGACTGTCATTAAAGGTAATTACTGTAATTCTCAGCACGCATCGCTGCTGCACAGAGCAACACGACTGCTCAAAGACATCATGGGACTCTGAAGGGATGGAAATAAGTATTATTTTAGTCGCTGCATCAGAGTCCATGTTCCTTTTGCTTTTAGCATCGCAATCTATATTCAAAACCAAACCTGCTCTGCAGTTCTGTGTGTGAAACTAGAGATTTGCAGAAGGACAGTGATTTGAGCAGCAGGTGCAGAAGTCACAATGTTCCTGGTTGGAATGTGTTTGTCTGATTTATTTTCCCATGAGCCTGGACCTCCTAAAAACACACATTTTCAGACGCCAGAGCATGACTGAAACATGGGCCCACTCAATCTCTCACATACACAACCATTTGAATGACAATCAAAAATTGCTCATTTCACTATATTGCTCATATAGGAATTTAAATCTGTCCAATAGAAGCTTGTTTCCGCCAATGAAGTAAAAAATTAAAAAACGTAATTGTCACTTTCGTTCACATTTCTGTCTTTTTCCTCACAATTCTCAAAAAAATAAAAAATAAAATAAATAATAGAATTGTGAGATATAAATCCAGAATTGTATAAGATATGAACTTTTTTTGAACTAGTTTTGCAATTACAATTGGAAGTTGCAATTACATTTTTAATTTTTTATTTCATTGCAGAAAAAAACTGCAAACTCACTCAGAATTGTGAGAAAAAATAGTCTGAATTGTGGGATTCTCAGAGCTGCTTGTTGAGAAGCAAGCTAACGGACCCGATCCATATCTAGGTACTAGATCATATCATAGAGACTTTCATATGCACCTTATATATTATAGAGTTATATAATACCTCTGTATTTGACCTTATATCGTTTCATGTCTTAAAATAAACAGCAGGTGTTTCTCTCTAGACTGTTTACCACTAAGGAGCTGTAGAGACATTGTGCTTTTCACTGCCCAATTTAGAAATTTTTCTGTCTCTCGACCCCATATTACCACCCCACCCAAACCCATTTCCTGAGGAGGCCTCACAATACACACACACGCTCACACATAAATATACAAACACACACACACACACGCTCATAATTTTTGAAAAGAAAAGAACCACTAAAATGCAGTGATTTTCTTCTGACTGTGGCATTGCATATTATGCTAGGGAACATATGATTTCAGAAAAAAAAATACAACAGACAAACAAACATATTGTTTGAGCACTCTTCTGTACTACATGAAGGACACATTTGCATTTTTGCAAGTTACATGTTTTTTTTTTGTATTATAAGAAGTATGCATTGCTGTACTTTACTGGCATTGATGGTTACATGAAGAATATTTAATATTCATGGAATTTTTCCATTACACAAAAAGGAAAAAAGGTTCTTTAGATTATTTAAATGCTCTTTACGCTAAGAAAATGGTTCTTTCAAGACATGTTCACTGAAAGAATCTTTGGGGAACCAAAAATTGTTCTTCTATGGCATCACTGCACAAAACCTCTTTTGGAACTTTTATGTTTAACAGTATGCTTAAAAAGAAGCCAAAGCAAATGCATCCTGCAAAGGTAAAGCTGTGAAGGTTATCCTATAAAGTTTGAGTTTTGGCCCCACATGTTATGGGTCTGAGTGATCTGTTTAGGTCCAGTGGTCTCCAGTTACAAACGGCAAGAACATCTGGATGTATTTAGCTGTTTGCTCTGCCCGGCTACAGTACAGCCTGAGCTCAGAGGCATTAAAAGTTGCATTGTTCTGTTTCTAAAATATCATTCTCGGCAAAAAGATGATTTATCTGTTAAACAAAACCTTTTTAGTCAGATTGTTTACACCGACATTTTTGCACTTAAGCGGGTGTGATTTCATCTAAAAGCACTGTGGAACAGAAAGGGAGGAAATGCTGGGAAAGGAAGTGGTTTCCTTAGAGTTTCCTGTGCCTAGGCTTGATTCTTTACTCCATTGGGGTTTTGTCCTGGTCTTGTTTTGCCAAATCAGCAGTGTCACGGTGGCAGTAAGGACATGGCTTTGCTTTCACATTGCTGTGGGCTGCTGGGATACTAGAAGGTCAAGCACTGACCAACACTAAACATGAGAAGTGTTCTGCACTGAGGCTGTTTGTGAATGTGTAAACTGTTGTGAGCCCTAAAAGTCTTGATTGTTTGAGAGAAAACAATTCTGCTTTCCCCTCTGAGCTTTCACTGTTCTTCCTGAGAATGGAACCACTGGAGGAGAGAGCAGCACCAGTTTGTATCAGCATGCTGTGTCATCTCATACACATTTGTGAATGCGGGTTTGTAGCAGAAGGAACTGATCTGGTGACAGTTTGGAGAAAGTTTCAAACAGAAGCATTAACAGCTTTATAACATGATACTGGAGTATTTGTCCAACACTAGAATATTTTAAATATGGCTCCATTCGCACAATTCAGCATGGTATGATTACAAACCTTTTCTGGCTGGGATTTCTTGACATTTCTCGACTACCTGTGCTCAGCCGATCTGAAGGAATGCCTGTAGTGATGTAATGATTGTTTTCTATAGTATTTACGTAATACTATAGAATGATTGTTTTCTATAGTATTTACATAATTTTTAGGCCTAAAGTTGCATTAAAAGAAGATTCACCCTATCTATATTCTAAATGGATGTTGTAGATCTTATTGTAAACAGTTCATCTGTGCATGTTTCTTTTTCTTTCTTTTTTTAATATTTAGAGCTTGTAATGTTTAATCAAAATGTCAAAACTGGACCTTCTGGTGAAAACTTTTTTTTTTAAAACTCTCGCAATCTGGTCAACAACCAGTATAAAACCAAGTCCCCAGTCACATTTGTTCTTTTTCAATAATCTGCTTCACTCAGATGTATGTCACAGTATGGAAGAAAAGCTACTTCCGTTTTATCACAACTTTAGAGCGGTTACAACCATTTTTAACTTGAATGTGCAAGGGTTCTGTAAACTCTCACAATCTGGTCAACAACCAGTATAAAACCAAGTCCCCAGTCACATTTGTTCTTTTTCAATAATCATAAAAAAAAATGTTATGCTGCTTGATGTTACAAATTGGTGTTATCATATAATTTCAATTTATCATAGTAATCATGTTTGTAAAAGTTTACCGTTTACTGCACTTTGCTATTTTTCTAGTTATTTACCCTACAGCTAATGAATCGGAAGTCTCGTACATTCATAGGAAATAGCTTATTTCCACGTTGAAAAATGGACTGTACAATAGAGTGGTGGAACTACGTCACTTTAAAGGCCAATCGGCTGTTAGCATGACACTGGTTCCCTCGACAAAAAGCCAGGATTTTTCCA